ATTATTTTTCACTGTTACGACAGACTGTTCAAAATATTATTCCAAAGAAAGCATAATTCAGTAATTATTGGTGCACAGATTAAAACTCCCTGAAATCCTGGCCATCACAGCTAATGGTGACAGCTTCTGGGCATTTTAGTCCAAGAACATCTACGGACACAAGATTGGGAACCACTGCTATAGACTAACTTGACTGCCTCCATTGGTGTTGTCAACATCCAGGCTGCCCTTTGCTATGTAAAGCTTGGGACCTTCTTCCTGCTGGCAAAGTGGGCAGGATATTGTGAAGCAATTTCAGGCCATTTCCTGGCTTTTGGAATCATGGGTATAGAAGCACAATATCCCACATTCACAAACCAGAGGTTGTGGTGTTGTTGTTTCTTTTCTTTTCTTTTTTAAAGAATTGAATATTATTCAAGATTGTTCAACAGGAAGTATAATTTAATCAAGCCTACTGTTTTTCATGGGGAACCATGTATGTACAATTATGCCATATAAGTTTTGAAAAATGGAAAAATTTTGTGTGGTTGAACAGGTAGCTTAATTGTACATGGTTTCCCATTAAAATTGTAGCGATCTTGAAGGAACACACTGGCTGAAATCCTGTTGCATAATTGTATGCTGTGTAAGGCTGATTATGTCATCAGCTGCAGATGTTTTTCCTAAATTAAAAATTTGTAACCCCCTCACAGAAGGTCCTCAAGCTCCCTCAGGATCCTTTTCACTGGGTGGCATTGGATGCAGATTTTCTTTAGTTTCTGAAAACTGTACTGATACTACCAATTTTTGGAAATGAAGAAGTTCCAACCTCACCCTTATCTTGCAGCTGTCAATGGCTTCCCACAAAGAAAGGCATCCCTAAGGAGACATGGGGCCTTGAGACGGGAACTGGGAATATTTACTATCTGAAAAATTGCCATGAACATTTCCTCTAATTTTCCAAAGCTTTGCCCCCTGCATGCAGTATTCCAGATGTGACCAGAAGCAAATGGGTGAAAACACCAGCTTGGCTATGTGAACTCGATGCAGCACTGCACACCTGCACGCCTTAGGGAATGTTGGCCATGACTGATGATGTCATTGGTCCAATGTGGTACAGTATAAAGTTGTGCAAGAGGATTTTGCCTTTGGTTTAGTTCCATTTTGGTCCTTTCTGCATTTCATGTTCAGAAGAACAAACCAGGCTATTTCCCACCCTTCCCAACATGTATAATTCATCTTCCTGTTATTTTGCTTTTTCATGGATCCACCAACCCTAATTATTTTGTTCTTATCTGTAAGTTCCTAATAAGATAGTCTTCTTTGGAACTGGTGGTGGTGACTTATGGTTGTACAGCATGCCCAGGACGCCACTTGCAAATTCCTACCTCACCATCTTGTGGAGGAATTATATGTACAGAAAACCAGTAATTATAGAAAGGGCCCCATATTCTTCAATGTCTTGTGCAGTGATATAAACTGCCTTGGTGTATAATATAAAGTATATGTGTCGTCTCTTGAGCAGAACTGTTTTACAGGAGAGCAAGTGAGCCTTTGAAAGGTTAATGAACTGCATGTGAAAGTTTGTTTTTAAAGACTCAGTACATTCTGCACATACATTAGTTTTCCTTTTGGTATTTTGAAATCAAAACAGATCTAGTTATAGAAATGACAGAATGTGTTTGGGTAAATTACAAACTGCTTAAATATTCATAAGTTTAAAATATACTCACAAATCTCTAATTTTTTAAAGGGGGTTTCAGGAGGGTGAGCTTACTCTAATTCCTCCTGGAAAAGGAAGAATAATTAAATAGCTAAAGCTCCTTACAGCAGTGTGATAAATTAAAGAAGGCACTGGAGAAGTTATAGGAAAAAGAGGAAAGGGTAGTGTGGTTGATGGAGAAGTTTGAATGACCTTGAGGAGGAGCACAGAATATTTTTTTTTAAAAAAAAACAGCATTTTTTCAAATATTCCACACTGTTCTTTCACACACTAAAACATTTTTAGAAGCTAATACAGGTTTGATAGTACTGTTTGAAACTAGGCTGTAGAAGCTCTTGAGATATATCCCACAGATTCCAAATAAAGGAATAAAGAACACATGTAGTTCAAAATGGCATTTAAAAAAAAAAAAAACATGTCTATGCAGTCACCCACTGCTAACAAATCCAGAAGCAACTCACATATTTCTATGCCATGGAAGTGTACAAATTGTCCTTTCAAACATTAACTCAAGAGCCTACCAAGAAAAGGCTGTGCTTAAGTTTTTCCATTTAAGCTATCTTATACATATGTAAATCAGTGTATTCACAGTAGTAAGTCATTCTATCCTATGAACCACTTGCTATAAACTAAAGACTAGAGCAAGTGCAGGCAAAATCCAACCTCCAGATGTTGGAGGATCACAGGTCCTACCAGCCCTTGTAATTGTTGTCAATGGTATGAAATGCTTGGAGTTGAGGTCCAGCAAAACAGGGAGGGCTCCACTTTGTCCTTCAAGCCTATGTCCTAGATAGTTAAAGAACTGCCCAGATATCTTAAAAAAGGAAAATGTGAGATTGTTCTGATGTGACAAGTCAGAGCAACCAACCATTTGCTTTTAAACGATTTTGCATTTATGGGACCAAAGAGGTCCAACAGTGATGAAAGTGTCTGTAAAAATCACTACCATTATTGCTCTTGGTGTTTAATGTCTGGGTATTAACACTCTGAGCATTTTTGCTGATTTTTTTTAAAAAAAGAGGCCTTAAGGGTGTATGTGTGCGAGTGAGTAAATGTTTTAAATGACATATTATGAGTGAGTAAATGTTTTAAATGACATATTATGTATGTTATATTATTGTGTTTTATTATTCACGTAAGCCGCCCCAAGTAGACTGTCTAGAGGGGCGGGGTATAAGCCCAATAAAAGTAAAGTAAAAGACCTAAATGTTACTTACCAAGTCTTAGAGTTCAGTCACATTGTCCCCAAAGATACAGTATGTAGTTCAGTGCTCTGTGTGATTGCAGCACCTTAGAGTGCCCGTTCACAACTGTTTATTTAGAAGCACTCATTCTCTCATACAGCTTACACCTGGAGAAGTCTTCTCCCTTTTTGGTAACCATTACAATCACAGAAACATCCATACAAAAGATCTCGCACATGCATTCTGCAATGGGACATTTGTATACCTGGTGCCTGCCTTACACCTTTTTTAAAAAAATCATCTCCAAGGGCTGAGGAAGACAAACCAAAGCTTGGGAAAGGGATTCTTTGGACTACAACGGATGGAACTCCGCAGCCAACAAAGCCTCTGGAGAATGTACAGAGTTGCAGCTGAGGCCAAAAATCAGCTGGGGTTGTCGCCTTTTTTGCTGGACTCTTACTTTTGTGTGACATAAAGATTTGTAATATGAGCTTCAATAAGAAGACGACGACGACAATGATGAAGAAGTAGTCAAGTTAAAAAAAAAGTCAAGAGGTAGCATTGTTTCTAGTTGATATATGGTAGGAGGGGGATGCCAGAATCCTACAGGTTTGCTATCGAAGTGTAAGTGCAATAGTAGAAATCACAGCCATTTTTAAACTCATGCAGCAACTCACGTGACTAGCTGCAAACAAGGGACACACACTGCAACTTGTTAACCAATAGCAGTTTGCTGCTACGGTCTATGAGCTTGCGCTGAATGAGGCAACCAACCAATGGGATTCTGGCCAAAGTGTTGAAAAACTTTGTTAGCAGAGTTACTGGATGCTATGCAGTGATTAAATGCACAGAACATTACTGAAAAAGACCAAAAGAAAGAAAGAAAGAAAAATAAAAACTGATAGGCCATCAGAGGCTTGGAGAACATAAAATTGCCCATCTCTATTCCATTAAATCCGAAAATAGCATTTTAATTTGTTGTTTATCTACCTATTGCAGGTTAAATGTCATACATGGCTGCAAAAGCCAACAATTACACTCCACTTCCATTTCATCTAAGCCAGGAATTAGCACCATAATACAGGATGCTTGCCTGCATGGGTTTAAACCTAGAAGAAGGCAGTTAACATTGAATCAGGCAGACCCAATTTCACTGGTGATAAATCTGGCACCATAAAAAAGAAGAGGATATTAGAAATGAGGAATATAAAAGGCCACATCTGCTGAATACTGAACAACACCTTCCTTTTATATAAATAAATAAATTGCTGACACTTTCAAAACAGTTTTAGAATTTCTGTTAAACCGTCCAGCATATTATACAGCTGGAAAGAATTCTTTAACTTAACGGTAGATGCCAAACGAAATGACAGTATTTACTGTAAAGAGTGACTACATAATATATCTCTTTGCTACCAAAACATTATGTATTATTATAAATAAAGTAATTACAGCTTGACTCCACTGGTCATGGCCTGGGAGGCAGTTCGTGCTCCCTGCCCTTTCTGTGCTTTCCCGTCCCCTCCCCTCTGATGCCCTGTGCAAGCTCAAGAAAACTCCATCCCAACTTCAAGGCTATCATATCTAACAGCGACTCGGTCATCAGAAATTCAGTGGATGGGACTGTCACCTCACTGCATTTCCATGGTAGGAAGAGCTGTGCCTGTTGAATTTTTTGACTATTAAACACCGGAAAGCAAGGAGGAGATGGTGTTTATTTTCCACCATCTGGCATTATTAGAGCCCAACAACATTCCTCCTACTATTCACATGCAATATTAATAGGGATTCTAATATGCTGAGGTGAAATCCACAGAACTCTCCATTTTCCCTCCCTCAACCACCCAAGTATTTTTCCCTTTAGTTTTTATCTTGTATTCTTTTCTCTTTTTTTCTGTTGCCGCCACTGAGTAGAAGCTCAGCAAATGTAAGGTGTCAAGCTTAATTGGACATACCGTATGCAGTTTAAAAAAAATTAGGAGTAGGAGTAGAATGCTAGGAAAAACAAAAGATACATACTGGACATCATTCTTCTATGTCTCTTTCAGACTACTCAAAAAAAATGGGGAAGGATTGCTTTCTTTTGTTTGGAATGGATGCAGAAGGTGGTTTACCTGCAGCTTTTGATATTGTGTCTGTCCAGAGCCTTACGAAAGGTGAACGGTCCAATGTTATTGATTTCTGTAATTTCTAGACAGCCAGTAAAATTGCACATGGATCCAGTAACCTAAGAGGGAAGGAGAGAAATTCAAAAGAATTAGACATGTCTCATACCCGTGGTAAGAGGTCAACCCAGCTCTGGAACCATGTAGTTCCCTGCTGTGAGGAATTCATGGTACCCAGAGAAGGAAAAAAGTCCTGCTAACAGTCCTCCTCATGGTAGCAAGCAAATTAGATAGAAAATTTGCTTTATATCAAACGCTGAATCATGAGCATTTCAAAACATATTTTAACATTTATCTGGACCTACTAAATTAAAAGATGCCTGCTTCTTGGGAGGAAAGCAATGACAAACCTTGACAGCATCCTAAAAAGCAGAGACATCACCTTGCCAACAAAAGTCCCCATAGTCAAAGCTATGGTTTTTCCTGTAGTGACGTACAGAAGTGAGAGCTGGACCATAAAGAAGGCTGACCACCGAAGAATTGATGCTTTTGAATTGTGGTGCTGGAGGAGGCTCTTGAGAGTCCCCTGGACTGCAAGGAGAACACACCTATCCATTCTAAAGGAAATCAACCCTGAGCGCTCACTGGAAGGACAGATCCTGAAGCTGAGGCTCCAGTACTTTGGCCATCTCATGAGAAGAGAAGACTCCTTGGAAAAGACCTTGATGCTAGGAAAGTGTGAAGGCAAGAGGAGAAGGGGACGACAGAGGATGAGATGGTTGGACAGTGTCATCGAAGCTACCAGAATGAATTTGACCAAACTCCGGGAGGGAGTGGAAGACAGGAGGGCCTGGCATGCTCTGGTCCATGGGGTCACGAAGAGTCAGACATGACTAAACGACGACGGACCTACTAAAGGATCAGCATGCTTTTTTCAGTGAACATATGTGAAACAATATAAAAGGTGAACGTATTAAAATGCAAGAGAGGCTGCCCAGCTAAAGGTAAGCACCATTAAATCCAGTAGGTTTAACTGGAAAGGACAGCATGCATTTTTGTGTGTCTTTGTACATGCACTCACCTACACCGAGAGTCACATTACTTACCCTTGTCTTCTATTTAGACATCCTGTTTTATGCAGGTATCTGCACATGCATAACCCTGCTGCTGTAATAAATGAGTCTTTTCTTTTGGCTGAATCATGCCCAAAATACAGCAAAGAATTGGTACATTTAAACTTGGCCATGAACCAGGAAAAGAGAAATTGTGCACTGTTTCATAGAAATATATATATACTTGCTTGAATTATTCAGAGGATATGAAACTTCATATAAGCTGTCTGGATAGCTCAATGAGTTAGGTATCGGGCTGTAGTCAGAGGTTGGGAGTTCTATTTCCCACTGTGCATCTCAGAAGAGCCAGCCGTATAGCCTTGGTGTGAGGGCCTCCCATGATTGACACCACAATAAATAAATATATATAATTTTAAAAGCAGTTTACAATCTTGAGTTCAGTTATCCTAAGAACCAGTCTGGAAGGAAGACCATCTACTCTAGTGCAGAGAGATGAGCCAGAAATAGCAAGTAGCAACAAAAAAAATGACATGTTGTGGGACTCCAGAACAGCCTAAATGGGAACAACCTTTGGGGACAAAGAATCATAAGAATGGGACAACCCCAAAGTTTGTGTAGCCTTTTCCTTGGAATTTATAAGATCCATTTACAGTGGGTCATCAGATAGCTAGCAATCTGACAATGTTCTAGCCAGATACAGCATTTGAGGTGGGGAGCAAAACTCCTGAAACTAAGGTTGTGTCTACACAACAGGGGGGGGAAGCATGTTGATCCGCTATTAATTCACACCTGGGGATTTGGGGTTCCCTGGGTAAATTTGGTTTAGCTACCCTGAAAAGAGTTGGAAAGAGAAAAAGGAGGAAATTGCTCATCAACATATTTTCAACTTCTTACAGTATTTCTGCTGTATCTTATTCTTTATTTATTTAGCTTATAGACTGCCCAACTTTGTGAGATCGCTACTTGGGGCAGGTGACATGATATAAAATAAACCGTACAACCAAAATTAGATTCAAAGGGAATACCCTTGGTACCTTAATCAATCAACATTAAGAAAAAAAGACAACCCACAGGTGATTAATAACTTGAACCAATTACAAAATCGTAACAGAATAAATAAAATATGCAATATATACTAGATAATAAATGAAAAATTATTAAAATACTGCCAAATCCAAATCACAAATATGGGTCACAAACAATGTTCCCTCTAAGCTGTGCAGCACTGTTTTGGTGCTGCACACCCATAGTTAGTGTGGCCATTCACTTGATTCCTGTCGTGGCCAGAATTTCATGCATGTGAGGTGGGGTTTCCGCTCAGTACTGGTGAAAAATTAGAGGGAAGGTTGGTCACAAAAGTTTAACATTGAGTTGCCAGAGGCCTCCCTAAACAATTCTGTCTTTAGTGATCTTCTGAAAAACTGTGGGGAGGGGGGCAGTCTAACCTCTAAAGCAGTCGTCCCCAATCTTTTCCAAACTGCAGATTGGTTGGGGGGCAGGGTCCGTGTGTGAGTGGGGCACCTGTGTGCACCCATGGGTGGATGGGGTGTATGCATGGGTGGGTGCGTGGGGCACCCACGCGTGTCTGCGTGGGGCACCCACGTGTGCATGGGAGCATGCGTGTGTGTATGCGTGCAGAGGGTGGGAGATCTGTTTCCGTTGCCCAATCCTGCTAAGGCCACAGCCTGGTACCAGGCCACAGAATGGGGGTTGGGGACCCCAGCTCTAAAGAACATTTGTTCCACAAGAAGGGAGACAGTGAGGAAAATAACCAATTTTTAGTTATGGCTTTACTTATTTCTCTTGGAGTAGACACCCTCAGTAATGAGGCCTGAGATGAATGGGGCGATGAGGTAGATATTTTAGAAAATGATATTTGATGTTTATGAAAGTTTTGATTGTCTGCTAGTGACCCCCTGGGTTGTCTCACAGCATTTATCCTCATTTGCAAATTTTAAATAGACTTTCATCATAATTTCCCCTCCTTGGGGTTCTAAACTAGGCAAGACAAACAGAATGTCATAGAAACAGGAACTCCTTAAGTGCTTACAAGATTTCTGATTATCATAGCACAAGCTTTTCTCACCTCCCATAACTTTCACAATAGGTTCCTTTTATGATTGGTCATAAGGAGGTAAACACGGGCTTTCTTAACAATTCTGATTCCAAGCCTGAAAGAATTCAGCTTCCACCAATGTGCTATTTGTATCACTTAGTTTGACACTCATTGATATCTATCTTTGCAAAAGAATACTATCTTGAGTAGTGGAGGGTGGCACTCAGCAAAAGTGATGCACATGTGGAACTCTTGCACCACAGAAGATGATTAGCGCCATCAAAATAGGTACCACCATCACCTGTCTTACCAAATTGCTAGCACACAACATCAACATGCATGTAACATTTTGCTCTTTGTGTATGTCTCTGGATCAGGGTCAAAATTGCTATTTAATTTTAATAAACAGAGACAGGCCTTCACTTATATTTTAATGATATCAGAGGTATAATGTTGACATCAAGTTCGTAAGGAATTATTAATTGATTCTTGAGATGAATAATCTTGCCAAATCATATATTGGTCCCATGATAACAAGCTGTAACTGGATTCTTTAAGAAGTTCTGTTTTAAGCTTCTGGGTGGTTTGATGAATCTTTCAACCCTCCTTCTTCCAGTATCTCCCATATGCTAATGTTTCCAGTCAAAATCTTGTTATTGTTAGCAAAAGAAGCAAAACAACAAGCTGTGATAAAACTGTCAAAGGTCAAAAGCACCCCCATTATAACACTTACATCAGTGGCTGTCTTCATCCCCGTTCTTTCAGCATTTCTAATGTCAAGTTAGTGTGGGCAAAATCATCACCATAGCAACCTGAAATCTATATCACATGCTGAAGAGCAAATTAACAAGGCAGTTTGGGAATAGATAAAAAAGAAATGGGGGGGGGCAGAAAGAAAGGTTATCAGCATCTTCTTGAAATTTTATTCTTTGTGTGTGTGTGGTTGTTGTTGTTGTTTTTAATGTTACAGCATGATTGACAGAAGCCAAGCCTGAGTTGCCTGGCCAGTTCCTCTGGATTTGTGGGTCTGTATATGTCAGACATAGTGCTTCCCCCAATTAAAGATAGAGTAATTATGAGTCTTGCCTTCTTGCCCTGAGCACCACAGTCTCACAACCATTCCTGTCAAACAACACTCACCCACATGGGGAAAGCTGGGCTAAATGAGGACGTATACATAATTTGAGAAGCTGTTTATGGGTAATGGTGGCTGTTAGAAGGGAAGAAATGGGAATGAATGCTTCTGACCTTTAAAAATTTACCCCAGAAGTGTTGAAGACCTGTTATATCAGTCGGAACTAGTTATTACGCTAAGGTTTTTCATCAGTGTTTTCACATTTAAATTCATTTAAGATTTTTTTTAAACTGTATCTAGACACATGGAAAAGCTTCTTTTGTGAAAAGCTTCAACATTAGTGCTACTAATTTAGCAAGTAAGGTTTTTCTGTCTTCAAGGCAAAAAAAAAAATGGCCAGAATAGTCACATTTCATTTTCTTTAAAATTGCATAGTAATGCAATGCAATCCTAAACCTTGGAGAAAGTTAACTGCAAGGTTTGTAAGCAGCAGCGTTCCCTCTCCATGGTCAGAGAGAACGATATAACCCTTACAAGTCTCATAATGGTAGTAGACATCTCCACTGTCATCACTGGTCAACCAGTAGTTGTCTGATGGAGTTAGATTAGAGCAGGCCACTGATACACAAAATCCTGTTCCCTCTTGTCCACCAAATGGAGCCGATATAGTTAATTTTCTCCCATGGACAACAGTGGGATGAAAACAACCACCACAAAAGAATCAGAGGGGAAAGGTAGAACCAAGCTTCCACTCACACCTTCCATTCTATGTATAGAAAGGGCTCAGATGGCAGCAGGAAATCCACCAAGAATAACCAGTAGGAGATCCACCAGGTAGTCTGCACCACCAGATCCATCCTGGCCTAATCAGGACATGCACACCCTATGGCATGCCCTACCTGCCTATGCAGATACACA